AAAAAATTGTGAGTGGAGAACAGATGAAACCAGGTAGCTCCTGATTCAACCAGGATGTGCACTGGGGCCAGGACAGCACAGCAGGCAAGGACCTCCATTTCAAGGATCACATTTTGCAAGGTGGAACAAACCAGTCCATCGCCCTCATTCTCCTGAGGGTGCACACATCTGGGAGGGACAGACTCTACCCCAGAAAGGTTGTAGGTAGCTGGGAGAACTGAGCAGTTTTTCCCCCAGCAGAGCATGCTCTGGCATGGAGCTACCCCAGAGCTCCTGACCTCCTCCACTGCAACACGCCATCCCCTCCCTTCCTATCTCCCAGATTCTGCCTCTGTCCCCCTTCGGTCAATGTCCCACTGGAGCCAGGGGGATCTTGTGAACATGTAACACATCATGCTGCTCCCAACCTCAAATAACCCACAAAGCCTTCTCCTCACTTAAAATAAAAACCTTAATTCTCACTCTGCCTGACATACTGGGGTGTGTGTATAATCTGTTGTCCTCCTCACTCATAAGCCTCCCCACCAGGGCTAGCCACTCTCAAACATGTATGCACCCACTACCCGAGACTCATTTCCACACCTCCCTCAGGACTGATCAAATGTCACCTAAGAGGTCAGCTCGGTGGCTCAGCCTCTAATCCCAGTGCTTTGGGAGGCCGAGGTGAGTGATTGCCTGAGCCCACGGGTTCGAGACCTGCCCAGGCAACTTGGCGAGACCTCATCTCTACAGTAATAGAAAGTTAGCTGGGCGTGGTAGCACGCGCCTGTAGTTCCAGCTACTTGGAAGGTTGAGGTGGAAGGATCGCCGGAGCCCAGCAGGTTGAGGTTGCGGTGGCTGGGAGGGTGCCACTGCACTCCACTCTGGGCGATGGTGTGAGACTCCAACTCAAGGAAAAAAAAAATGTCACCTAAGAGACACACCCCCTTTCTGCCCAGCCTCTGCCCTGCACTTGTTAGCAATCACCACACAAAAAGGCCTTTTCTTTTTGTTTGTGTCTGTCTCCTTCTACAATGGCAGATAGAGTGATCTTTTCTGCTCATGACTGTGGTGCCAGAAGAGCCCTGGCACACAGTAGGTGCTCCTAAGTGTCTACTGAATGAACAAAGTAACAGCTTTGGCACAGCCAAAATAGAACTGTATGAAAGGCCAAGGCAGGAGGATCACTTGAGCCCAGGAGATTGAGATTGCAGTGAGCTAATTTTCTCCTACACTCCAGCCTGACAAGACCCTGTCTCTTTAAAAAAAAAAAAAAAAAAAAGAGAAGCTAGTCAGAATCAGAATCTGCCAGTTTGGTGATTGTTCAAGAAAAATGTAGCATGGAAGACAAAAAAATCCTGCAGCAAAGTGAAATGAGCATAAAATGAGATTTAGCTGGAAAAAAAAAAGAACTGCATTTGGTGATTTATGCCTGTAATATCAGCACTTTGGGAGGCCAAGGCAGAAGGATCGCTTGAGGTCAAGAGTTTGAGATCAACCTAGGTAATATAGCAAGAGCTCATCTCTATAAAACATTCAAAAAATTAAGACAGGAGTGGTGATGTGTGCCTGCAGTCCCAGTTACGCAGGAAGCTGAGGCAGGAGGATCACTTGAGCCCAAGAGTTTGAGGCTACGGTAAGCCATGATCCTGCCACTACACTCCAGCCTGGGTGACAGTGGGACTGTCTCAAAAAAAAAAAAAAAGAACTGTGCAAAGAAATTACAGTGGAGTGCAGTCAGGGGTGAAGGAAGGTTAGTACTGAGAGAGTCCAGGCCTACAGGAGGGAATATGCCTCTGTCCTTCCTACCTCCCCCAGACCCCCCCTCACTGAGGCAGTTGCTGGTAAAGGGAGTAGGTTCAAGAGTGCAAAGAAGACAAATCAAGCACAGGGCTCCGGCACTAAGTCAAGTTCTTTACTTCCCAGAAGTGATGGCTAAGGGGAGAAAGAGGAGGGTGAGGAGAGGAAGACAAAGCCAGAGAGAGCAAGGTGGGAAGAGAGGGGACAGTAAACCACTGTTCTATGAAGTCTCATGAGACAAGTGCTCAAGGTAAAAAAAGAGTCCTGGAGAATCGTCCGCGGCTGCGGGAAGCGTCTCGGTTTCCTTTTGCGTTCAAGTCCTCAAGGGGAAGGCTGCCGCCGCTGCCGCTGCATTAAATAGTTATGTACATCGCAGAGAGTCCCAGGCCATGGGCAGGCAGGGAGGGGGTCATTTCACCAGGGGCCGAGTTTTATCATCATCGCCGCACTGGTGGGCTTTGTACTTTTTCACTTCTGCCATGTACTTGGCCCACGCATCACCTTTACTTGTTAATACCTGTTTCAGGGGTGGGGGATAGGGGTTGGAGGAAGAATGCCAGGGAGAACAGAAACCAGGGTCAGGACTGTCCTGAGGCAGTTGACCCATTCCCAGTGTCACCCAGAAGGCCTTGAATTTGAGGTAAAGATGGAGAGTCAAGTTAACTGGGGACCATATTGGCAGTCCTCCTACCCCACTGGGCACACCCATCCAAGGCCGGGACACTGGACAGAGAGGGAGAAGGCTTCACTGCTGGGTGCAAAGGTTGCAATGGAAAGGTAATTGGGGTGGTTCCCCTCACCCAGCCAGCTCACCTCATCCTCCGTCTTCTGCTTCTTGGCTACTATTCCCGTCTTGAGGGCTAGTTTGTTCCCGCCTCTGCGTTTGCCCACCTGGGTGAAGGGACAGAAGACTGCAACGGTTACAGGAGCCGGGCCCGCCCTTAGCGGTGCTGAGGCCCACTACACCTTCCTAGCCCGGCCCGGTGGCCCGTCCCGACGCCGCGCCCAGCTCCGCCAGCCGGCCGACCTGCGCAGCAATCAGAGAGGAGCACACGCGACTCTTAGCGCCTGCCCTGGGCCCGCAGTGCCCAGGCAGTCCTGGGCCCTGGGCTGCCCTCCCAGGGAGCGAGAAGAGTGCCCACCTCAGTGGGGACCGGCTCTATCCTCACTTTCCATGCCGAGGCCTCACCCTCCCCAAGCAGGGATCACATGAGGTGGCAACAGCTCCCTTTATTGAGCACTTACTGCTTGCCAAGCTCTGTGCCAAGTGCTGTGGATCTCTTCACTTTCACAGTTCCCCTAAGATGAAGGTCCCCATTTTATAGATGAGGAAACAGTCTTTGAGGAAAGGTCATATGAGCAACAAACAATGGAGCTGAATTCAGGATCAAGTGGTTCGAAGCCACTGGGCATCATCCTTAGCCACCTAACCTGACCTGGCCTCTTTGGGGTACAACCGAACTGGACCCACAATGAACAAATGAAAAAGAAGTGACAACCGGTACTCCCATTCATGGGGGAGCATTCAGTCCCCATGCTCAGGTGTCACACCAAACCTGTCCTGACACTCCCTTGCTTTCTCTTCCCTCAAACAGAAGTTTTCCTCTGGAATTTCATCCTGGCATCTCATTTTCTCCTATTGATTGAGGGCTTCCCTGTGCTGCAAGGGCTGCAACAACCTTCACAGGCATCATCCCATCTTCACCCTTCAACCAGATATTAAGTAATCTGTGCTGCTGGGACTATTTTCACACCCACTTTTAACAGATGAAGAAACTGAGGTGTGGACCAGGCATGGTGGCTCACGCCTGTAATCCCAGCACTTTGGGAGGCCGAGGCAGGAGGTTTGCTTGAGTCCAAGAGTTCAAGACCAGCCTAGGCAACAAAGTGAGACCTCATCTCTACAAAATATTATAAACTATCCGGGTGTAGTGGTGCACGCTTATAGTCCCAGCTACATAGAAGGGTGAGGCAGGAGGTTTGCCTAAGCCCAGGAAGGAGGTCAAGGCCATGGTAAGCCATGACCATGCCACTGCACTTCAGCCTGGGCAACAGAGTGAAACCACATGTCAAAAAAAAAGAAAGAAACTTAAGTGTGGAGAGGTAGATCACGTGCCCAAAATCACACACCTGGATCCAGGATTTGACTGCCAATCCCTTATTCACCACTTTTTCTTCCACATTACAGGGATGTGATCTCAATATCAAAGACAAAGCAAGCTCAGAGCTGACAATCAATATATGCCCTATTTATTTAGCCCAGAGTTTTTCAAATTGGCACTGACATTTTGAGCTGAATAATTCTTTGTTGGCAGGGGGTGCTGGGAGGGGTGCTGCCCTAGACACTGAAGAATATTGAGCAGTATCCCTGGCCTCTACCCATAGATGTCACTAGCACCCCCTCCCGCAGTTCTGACAACCAAAAATGTCTCCAGATTTTGCCAAACGTGGGGGTGGAGGGAAATGTCCTCAATTGAGAACCACTAACTTAGCGCTTCCTAAAAGACAGGACTTGCGCTAAACCACTTTTCCAGATCACCTCACAAAACCCTCACCACACCAGATGTGATGATGTCCATTTTTACAACTAGGGAAAATGAAGATAGAAAGGCCAGTCCAGAGGCTCCAGGAAAGCAGCGGTCTTGTCTGTCGTGCTCACCACTGCATACCCAGCACCTAGCACAAGGCCCAGCACAAGGTAAGGTGCTCAATAAATGGACAATGGTCGAATGAGATTCGGGGAAGTCCAAGCGATTGTCCTAATTATCTGACACAGTGAGAGGTCTGAGTCTATTGTATACAGCTCAGACTCCAGGACTTGAAATTGCCCTCCATCCCCACAATGGGGGGATACACCAACATCCAGAGTCCGGGTACCACTTCAACAGGAATCTTGATATCCACGCTTCCCCTATCCCGGAGTGCCGCTTCCAATGCTATTCCACAGTTCCCACTTCCTGGGAGGAGGTTCCGGGGGTCCGCATCCCCGCCCCAAGACCCTCTCGTCGGGAATCCTCAGCGGGTGACCCGGACGGCCCCCTATCCGTACAGAAGGTGGACCTGGATCCCGATTCCCCTCCATGAGCCCCGATTCCCCCTGCCAAGGAAGGCCCCGGCGCCCGCCCCCACCCCCGCGGCTCCTTACGAAGCTA